TCCTGCTGAGACGCAAGGCAAGATTACGTAGTACAAATCAAGTACAATCAACAGGCATCCAGTGAGCAATACAATATGGTTTAAACTACAGGAATCAGAAAACAAACCGAAATCTCAAAGAGAGCTGAAGCAAAGCATGAGTTTTTAAATATGATACCTTAAGTGGTGTAGAAGCTACTTAGTCTGAAGAATACTTACAGTGTTAGATAGCAATACAGCAGTTCAGGTCACAGTTCCTATCCCTGTACCAATGCAGCTTTCTGACCATTTCATTACAGTCCTATTTACCTGTGCAAAAAGCCCTCTTCAATAATTCTGTTTTGCACAGTTTGCAGAAAGCCATGAATGTGGGAGTCTTCCTAATCTAACTTTTGAGCCTGTTCACACATTTAAGGAGCCACTGTTTTCCACATGCAGTTATAGAAATCTATGGCCACATGTAAACTGGGAGAAAAATACAGGGAGATAGTTGCAGCCACATTCATGACCAAAGCAGCTAGGAAACATAAAGATCAACCAATAACCCTTTATTTATTACATTTGAAGGTTTAAATTCATTACTGATTTGGCAGAATTCTTCCATGCTTCCCTGGTTTAAGACCTTGCCAGAATTCATTTTGTGCTAGCAACCAAAACCTGCTCAAGTACTGATAGTTTCATAATTTTATTAATGATATTTGAAAGTTGAAATCTCTTGGTACAACAGGAAAAACTTCTGCTTTCTTTACTTTTTCTTGGCTGTCTTTTAAACATTTGAATCATTTGAATTATATTAAGGCTGATATTGAATTTAGATCTCATTTTTTGTAAGCCATCCACTGAGCCAGGAGATAAATCATTAAAATAAAAGAAAGAAAAATCAAAGTGTCCAAGTCTCGATGTCTCTTGAGCTGATTACATTTTGGGCTGATTACATAGCCATGCCAAATCTCTGACCAGAGTAAGAGCATTCTAGTGATTCTTGTTGTTTGTAGAAACTGTAGCCAAGTAAATGAGATTTTGGCTTATTGTTTTACCACTGCAGCTTAGATTAGAAAGTGAACACGGACTGCCTCTTTTATCATATGTTCTGTAATGTACACGGTTGCAAAAAATACCTCACACAGAAGTAGCAGCAAATCATACTCCTGTAATATACTCTGCACTGTGAAGTCACTTTTTACAACAACTCAAAAAAACCAGGTTGCTTACCTGTAACTAATGATCTT